ACAGAGGAAAGGCTTTTCCACTCCTCTTCCCTCCCTAAAACAACGTGGGAAGGAATATTAACAGCCTACAATTGCAGAGCTTGTTTTCCTGGGGACCTGAAGTGCAGCTGTTTTTACAAGCTGAGGGGTATGATTTATTAATAAATGATAGCATTAATAATTAAATCTCGTGCTCAAGTTGCTGTGGGGGTGATTAGCATAAACCCACTGGCATGAAGAGAGGTGTTTCAGCTTGCAGAAGCTGAGTACCCCAGAACTGGGGTCACACTCAAGCCTTTAGGAGCTCTTGGTACAGTTCATTCCATCTGGCAGAGCTCAGGTGAAGGAGAGGTTTCCACTGCCCTTCCCAGATTCATAACCCTCATTTTTAAATACCCCTGAAACTTAGGGAAGAGATGCCACACAACAGGTAATGTCCTGTTTGGGGTCACTAGGAAAGAGCAGGGAACACATTGAATCAGCCCTGCTCTGCCTTCAGTGGGTGACTGGTATTAAGCAAACACTTTCTTTGTGCCAGAAACACCGAAGTGCCTCGCAATTAGTGACAGGCAGATTAATTTATGCACATTACTGAGTCCTCCCCCTTCCTGCAGGAAGCCTTTCTGTGGTGTCTCTGTCAATAAATGTCCCCCAATCCACGCCTACATTTATTCCTTGCTCGGGGAAACTTTGCAGAGTCTGCTTTGTTTGCCCTCCTGGCTCAGGGAGATGAATTTACCACGGCCTTTTGAGCCACCCCATGCAGTCTGTGCTCAACACAGCCCTGCCCTCCTTCTGAGGAAGCTCTGCTACAGAAATACTGCCTTGCTTTGAATCCACCAGTGGCTCCCAACCTGCCTGTGAGGTAGCTGCAATGCAGCTGTCCAGTTTTAATCTCTGTAGGAGCCAGATTAGGAAAGGATAAAGGTTCAGTCCCTACGATCCCTGTCTCACACAGACTTGGCTCCAGGCAATCTCCAGGAACAGAGGAAGCCAAGCCAGGCAAGCAGGTATTGATGCATCCTGCCAGGACTGGGAGCCACCCTGTGTTTGCTGCTTCTTTCACGTAATGAAAGAACAAAGAACAGAGCCAGGCTTCTCCTGGAAGTGTCCAAGGCCAGGTTGGATGGGGATTGGAGCAGCCTGGGCTAGTGGAAGGTGTCCCTGCCCATGGCAAGGGGTGGCACTGGATGGGCTTTAAGGTCCCTCCCAACCCAAACCGTCCAGGGATTCTGTAATTACCCGGTGATTAGGAACCACCTGCAACAAAGCACAGGGTGAGGATGCAGGGGCTCGAAAGCCTCTCTTGCCTTGTGGGAACTGCAAACTGAAGGGGGAAAAAATGCTGTTTACACGTGTCTGGGGGTTCTGAGGTGCAGAGAGGGCTGTGTGTCCTCCCAGCCTCACAGAGGGGACCCGGAGGGCAGAGGCAGGTCCGAGCAGGGGCCGTTCCAGAGCAGCCCGACCACAGCCCCCCCGTGGCCGCGGTGACGCCCAGGGCGCTCCGAGCATCACCGCGATGAGACGACGCCCGGAGCAACCCGGAGCGGACCTCACCGAGACGATGCCCGGAGCGCTCCAGGCATCACCTCAGAGCGCCGGGGGCGGGGCAGCCCCTCCCCGCGACGATGCCCTGAGTGGTCCAGGCATCCCCTCCCCGCGGTGACGGGGCGGGCAGTCCCCTCCCCGCATCCTCCTCACCGCGGCGGTGCCGCCGCGCTCCTCCCCGTCCCCGCGGCCGCCGATAAATACCGGCTCCGGGGCATCGCCCCGCCGCAGAGCGGGGTCTCTCCTGGCAGCAACCATGAGCTCGTACGGCTACGACCCGTTCTTCCCGTCCTACAAGCGGCGGTACGCGGAGAGCCCGCGCATCCACGTGTCGGTGCGCAGCAGCGGAGGCGGCTTCGGCTCGGCGCGCTCCGCGTACTCCAGCCTGTCCGCGCCCGTGTCCTCCGTGTCCGTGCGGCGCAGCTACGCCACCTCCAGCGCCTCGGGCTCCCTCCTGCACTCGGTGGACAGCCTGGACCTCAGCCAGGTGGCCGCCATCAGCAACGACCTCAAGTCCATCCGCAGCCAGGAGCGGGCGCAGCTGCAGGACCTCAACGACCGCTTCGCCTGCTTCATCGAGCGCGTCCACGAGCTGGAGCAGCAGAACAAGGTGCTGGAGGCCGAGCTGCTGGTGCTGCGGCAGAAGCACGCCGAGCCCTCCCGCTTCCGCGCCCTCTACGAGCAGGAGATCCGCGAGCTGCGCTTGGCCGCGGAGGAGGCGACGAGCGAGAAGCAGGCGCTGCAGGGCGAGCGGGAGAGCCTGGAGGAGACGCTGCGGGGGCTGCAGGCTCGCTACGAGGAGGAGGTGCTGAGCAGGGAGGACGCCGAGGCGAGGCTGCTCGAGGTGCGCAAGGGCGCGGACGAGGCGGCGCTGGCGCGGGCGGAGCTGGAGAAGCGGGTGGACAGCCTGCTGGACGAGCTGGCCTTCCTCAAGAAGGTGCACGAGGAGGAGCTGGCGGAGCTGCAGGCGCAGATCCAGTACGCGCACCTGTCGGTGGAGATGGACGTGTCGGCCAAGCCCGACCTGTCCGCGGCCCTGCGCGACATCAGGGCGCAGTACGAGAAGCTGGCGGCGCGCAACATGCAGAACGCCGAGGAGTGGTTCCGCAGCCGCTTCACCGTGCTCAGCGAGAGCGCCGCCAAGAACACCGACGCCGTGCGGGCCGCCAAGGACGAGGTGTCCGAGAGCCGCCGCCTCCTCAAAGCCAAGACGCTGGAGATCGAGGCCACCCGCGGCATGAACGAGGCGCTGGAGAAGCAGCTGCAGGAGCTGGAGGAAAAGCAGAGCGCCGATATCTCCGCCCTGCAGGTGATGGAGGGGGGGGGGGTCGGGGATGGTGGGGTTCTGTAGGTGAGGGATCTCGGGGTTTGAAGGGTCCCCGCAGGTGGAGGGGGTTTGAAGGGGGAGGTTGTCAGGAGCATCCCGGAGATGGGATCCCAGAGATGCTCCTGCTGTACCTGTACTGCTCCTAAGTTATCCCAAAACTGTAATGCAGAATGCCCCAGAGCTATAAATGTCATGGATCCATCTGATCCTGGAGATGGGGCATTGATGCCAGCTCGTGCCAGGGCTGTGCTTTGTGTCTAAACTGCGAGGTGTCATGAAATCGTTGTGCCAAATGCCCCAGAGCTACTAAGAATGGATCTATACACCAATACAGCTTTATTATTTCTTATTAAAAAACCCCATAGAATTGTAGAATATCCTGAGTTGGAAGGGACCCACAAGGATCAGTGAGTCCAACTCGGTGGATATCCTTAATTAAAAAAAAAAAAAAAGTTAAGCTAAAAGTAGAGAAAGAACAGAGAGGCTAAAACCCAAATGAAATTACACACAGATTTCATGTGGATTCTTTATGGCAAATAGCAGTGGAATAAACAGTGTAGATACAGGGCTGGGAAAATGCTGCCAGGGAAGGCATTAAAATGTTGCCTTTTTGGCTGAGGTGGAGTGGGAACTGTCCTTTTTTCCTGTCTGCTAAAGCAAGATTAATAGGATTGGAGAAATCCGTTGTAATTGTTGCTAGACTTGGAAGAATTGAGAATTTTGTGCCGTTACATCCGACAGGACACGATCAACAAATTAGAGAACGAGCTGAGAACCACAAAGAGTGAAATGGCTCGGTACCTGAAGGAGTATCAAGATCTGCTCAATGTGAAAATGGCCCTGGACATCGAAATTGCGGCTTACAGGTACGGTGGGGGATGTTTTAGGAAGCCAGAACTCGGATCAGGTTCCCATTCTCTTCCAGAGAATTCACGTTACTTGTCATTCCTCCAGTAGGAATTTCCATGGATAGGTGTCAAGGTTTAATCAGGTCCTCTCTGTTGTTGTGTTATTGGGAGAAACTGATTTTTTGTTTGTTTGTTTCTGAGGTAAAATACTTCTTTAAAGCAAAATTTTTAGTGAGTGCAATATCTGTATGTATATACATCCAGAATTTTTACCCTTTGGCAATCCATGATCTCACTTCTCCAGCTTCCCACATAAAAATACCCGTTCTCTGCTCAGTGATTTTTGTTGCAGTGCAACTTCTCAGTGCAGATTTCTGGCTCTCAGAAATCCCTCGAACGCCCCTGAAGAGCACTGGCTTTGTTTCCCACTTGCAGATCTGCCAGGGAATATCTTCACTTGCTGCTGGATGGCTGTGTGATGTTCTGTCCCAGCTCCTGCGAGGCATTTCTGATGCTGAAGCAGAGTTTCTGGGAATGCCACAAGGGGGAATACTGAGAAAGCCGGTAGAGAGGGATTAGAGCAGCTAAACCTCGAATGGTTGGCTCTGCCTCGCTCTGTGAAACCCTGCAGGCTGCCAAAATACTCCTCCTGACTTCACCTGCCACAGGAACCTGATTCTAGAGGGTTTTTCCTGTCTCTTCTAGCAAGGAAAAGTGTAAATTCATCTGTAATGGACACCTTAAATCATTCCAGGAAGGCAGGGTAGCACTGCCCCAAGTTATTAATTCAGGGCTAACTCTGCACTCCTCGAGTCTCAAAGCACCCCAGTTTCTTGCTCTGGAGCTGCAGAATAATTGAACCCTGTATTTTTTTTTTCCCTGCTAGGAAGCTGCTGGAAGGGGAAGAGACCAGGCTCAGCTTCACCAGCGTTGGGAGCATCACCAGTGGCTACACCCAGAGTGCCCCCAGCTTCGGCAGATCTGCCTACACCGGGCTCCAGTCCAGCTCCTACCTGATGACAGCACGGGCCTTCCCCACCTACTACTCCAGCCACGTGCAGGAGGAGCAGATTGAGATAGAGGAGACAATCGAGGCTGCCAAGGCAGGGGAGGCCAAGGCAGCTCCTGCAGAAGAGGGCGAGGAGGAAGAGAAGGAGGAAGGCGAGGAAGAAGCGGGAGGAGAAGAGGCTGAAGAAGAGGAGGAAGGTACAACTCCTTCCAGATCCCTTCCTTTCACCTTTCAGATCCCTTCCTTTCACCTTTCAGATCCCTTCCTTTCACCTTTCAGATCCCTTCCTTTCACCTTTCAGATCCCTTCCTTTCACCTTTCAGATCCCTTCCTTTCACCTTTCAGATCCCTTCCTTTCATCTTTCAGATCCCTTCCTCTCAGATCCCTTCCTTTCATCTTTCAGATCCCTTCCTTTCACCTCTCAGATCCCTTCCTTTCACCTCTCAGATCCCTTCCTTTCACCTCTCAGATCCCTTCCTTTCATCTTTCAGATCCCTTCCTTTCAGATCCCTCCCTTTCACCTCTCAGATCCCTTCCTTTCACCTCTCAGATCCCTTCCTTTCGTGCTTCACCCCGCTCATCTGGGATGAAACTCAGAAATCCCAATTATTAAGGATTAAACCTCTTCCCTTTCCCGCCCGTGGGAGGATTAAGCATTTAAGCAGCAAAGCCTGAGTGTTGGGTGCAAGATAAGGTTAAATCTCCAGTGTCAGGCAGGGGATGGGGTTCCAAAAAGCAGAGTGGTGATGCTCAGGTGGCAGCAGAGCAGCACTCAGCTGTTAGGCACCCTCAGAAAGGAGGAACAAGGACATCCTGAGCTAAATATTAATTCCCAGAGGGTAGCCTGGAATAATGGGAACAGCAGCTGATGCCTGTGGACGGAATTACCGGGGTCAGTGGGTGGCAATATTACATATCTGAAGTGCTCTGGTTGCCACTGAGCTATTTGAGGCATCTATTAGCATAAAGATTAATTACAATGATTAATTACAACTGAAGAGCGACAGGATTGCTCTTTGAACCCACGTTTTTGAACAAGGCTTTAAGCAGTGAGTCCAGAATCAATATTTTCTGAGGCCATGATTTTTTAATGAAGTGTTCCCTTCCTGAAATGCAGGAGTTGTGCAGTTTTGTTGGGGGTGTGCAGGTCCACTGGCTCCCATTAAATTGGGATGGGTACACAGAGGTGAAAATATCTTCCTTTTTTTTCCTCTCCCAAAGGTGCAAAGGAAGAATCTGAAGAAGCCAAAGAGGGGGAGGAGGAGGAAGGAGAAGGGGACGAAACAGCAGCTGAAGAAGGGGAGGAGTCTCAGGAAGCTGCTGAGGAAACTGGTGAGGAGGAGAAGGAAGAGAAGGAGGAGAAAGAAGCAGCAGGAAAGGAGGAGAGTGAAGTGAAGAAGAAGTGAAGTGAAGAAGAATGGCTTGATTGGCTTTTTTTGAGGCAGCTTTGCTTCCCATCAGGCCAACAGAATATAAATGATGATTGACTGAGCTAAAATTGCAGTCCCACATATTTAATTCAGTGACCACTGGGGTTTAAAGTTAATGATCATGATGTTTCTCTCTGTGCAGAGTCTGAGTTTGCTTGCAGAGCACCCACTGGCTTGTTCCCTGAGTGCTGCATGGTCTCCACGGATGATTTCAGGGCTTCTGTCTTTCCTGGGGGGATCCAGAACCTTAACATTTAAAAATGATGGGGGGGGGGAGGAATAAATTAAAAAAAGTCCTGGGAATGAAAGTTACCTTTAACTTGCATTTAAAATAATTATGGAAACCTTGGGTGGGTGGAATAATGGAGGCTTCAATAAAGTGCAATAAAGCTAAGTCAATAAAGAAATGCTTACCTGGAGTGCTTGTGTGTGTCTTGTGTCACTGAGATGCTCTTAAAAGGTTGATAAAGGGGTGTAAACCACTTTTTTTGAAGTCTGTGTGACAGGTTAAGGGGGGGCTGGTTTGTTCCTAGAGGAGATTCTTGGGGGAACAAGAGCTGGGCAAAAATGTCTCGATGGAGATGTAAAATTGCATTTATCTGCTGATTTTGTGGTATCTGTTTATCTTCACTGGCTCTCCTCAGTGGCTTTGTCCAGAGAGAAAGGAAATCTTTCTCTTTTATTCGAATTTTTATGGCGTTCCAAAGGCATCATCTCCCTTTTCAGTGCTGGAAGAGCCATGAAGAAGATAATGATGGATGAGGTAAGCACTTAAAATCAGAAGCTGTGGGTCCCCTGGATCCCTGGAAGTGTCCAAGGCCAGGATGGAGCAACCTGTGCTAGTGGAAGGTGTCCCTGCCATGGCAGGGGATGGGACTGGATGGGCTTTAAGATCCCTTCCAACCCAACCCATTCCATGATACACCCACCCCACTCCTCCATCCTGCCTTTCTGCAAGCACTCTCAGCTTTAACTTATCAATACTTGATTTTTCTTGATTTTGCAGATAAATCCCCCCTCTGTTCACTCAGCCCTTCTCTCCCCCTCTCATTTCGGGGAAAAGCAAAAACACCTCCAAGGTGTCACCAGGGATGCTCCACCAGCAAACACACCTCTCCCTGCAGCCTTCCCCTGCCCGATCCCGGCTGCTCCCGTTCCTGGGGATGCTTGGACAGCTTGGGGAGAGCTCTCCCAGCCCTGCAGGAGCTGCGAGTCAGCCTCGAGCTGCAGGAGCTGCAGGAGCTGCAGGCAGGGATGGGCAGGGCTGACCAGCCCGGTCTGGCACCCCCCTGGGCACTGCAAGTGCTGGCAGGGAGGCTGCAGCTCTGGGTTCGTGTGTCCAGGCTCTCCCGGGGCTCTGGGATGGATCCTGCTGCCAACAACTCGCTCTTACCTCGGGAAAGCGGGAGCTGCTTTGACGCAATGCAGTAAAAGCTGGCAGAGAGGGAGGCTCGGGAGAAACTTTAACCCCAACTTGCAGCTGCAAGTAGAGCCAGGGGTGCCCCTGGAATTTTGGGGGGCTGGCTCAGGGTGAGATCCCACAAATGCACGGAGGTCCTGGATGCTTCCCTTGAGATGCACGTTCAGCCCCAAGCCCTAAACTCAGCCAGGGGAACGCCCTGGGCAGGGAGAACACCCAGATCCCGTCCCTTCTGGGGGCTAAAGAATGGACAGCTCATCGTTTGCTGCCTTCCTGGATCAGTCCAGGGTGGTTTAATCCTGAGCAGAGAAGGAATAAAAGCTCACATGGGAATGAGGGAAGTGCAGACCCCGATGCCTGGAGAACGTTCTAGTGCCTGGCTCAGCTCCCTGGCAAATGCAGCCTTATCTGTGTTTTGTAACACTTCCCAGCTTGTTTCCACCTGGAATTTAGTTCTGGGAGGTTGAAAACCTCTTCCTTGTAGCATCTCCCCAACACAGGACAGTAAAAGGATCCTGTTTTAGAGCCCTGGAGTCAAAGGGGGCTTGATATCCCACCTTAAATTAAGACTCACAAATCTCCACTCCAAATTCCCTTTAATTATTGTTTTTCCCTTCGTGGACTTTTGTATTATTTAATGAACTTCCCTGCCTGAAAATAATTATTCCCTTCACTGGTTATGTGCAGTCTGGAGAAGTAATTGGTGCAGAACAGGCAAATGACATCCTATTTATGCATCTCTGCCCGGGAATTCTGCTCGCTTTTGAAACTCTTTGATTGCAGATGTCAGTAGACAAAACCTCTTGGCACCATGAAATATTAATCAGTTCTTATGGTTTTTATAAACATCCAGAAGTGTGTTAACCACTTGCTTGGTTCTCTTAGGATTTGGTGGGAACATTTGCAGTGGGAAATGGATTAAACTCACAAATTTTGTGTGTTAGAGCAGAGGGTGAAAAAAAAATTGCAGTTGTGGGTATAACTAAAGGCTGGGATGTATTCTGGGTGGGAGAGGGGGGAGAAATGAGGATATTGTGATTTGTTCCAGGGGGTAGTTTGCCTCCCACCCAGGTGGGTTCCCAAACCCACCCCCTGGTGCAGGGAACTGCCAAGGTGCAGACAAGGAGCAAACCAACCCAAACCCCAGCTCTGGGCTCCCTGGGGCTGGGTCCTACCAGAACTGAAGAGAAAAGAGTGAAAAGGAAGCCTAAACCCAAAAACCAGCCTGGTTGGGATCCCCCCTGCCCCTTGTAACCCACGTTAACAGTGTTGCTGAGCTGCCATCAACATTTAATTCACAGTACAAGGTGACCTTTCCCCACCTCCCTGCTGAAGATGCCCAACTTTCCAAGCTGAGGGCTGGTTTGGCACTTTGAGGCTGAAAATGGGGGACTGTGACTTTATTCCTAAAGGTAAAGACATTTTTGTGTCACTCACACACACATGACTTTCACAAATAAGCTCAGGACGGAGAAGCTGCCATTTAATTTGCTAACTCTGCTTTAATTAAACCTCACTCAGCCCCCCAAGCTGGTGAGCACAGATTTCCATTATTGATAGCAGCAGGAGAAGCATCCCCTGCTTTGCTGCACAAAGGCACCCTTGGATTTATTTGAAGGCTTTATCTGCTATGGACTTTTTTTATCACCCCTCCAGTGAAGAACAGGCTGAAGCCTTGCAATTAAAAGCTGCTTGATCTTCAATTATGGATAAAGAATTGGAAGGAATATGAAAATCATAGGTTTGGATCAGACCCTCAATTAGGTGACAGATTTGAGGGCAGTCCTTGTCCTGAACCCAGGGTTAAAAATGATTTGCATTTCTTTTTTGGGGGGGGGAGGTGGGGCATCATCCATGCTCTTCACTTTCCTTTGGAAATGTAAAATCAACACAACACGAATCCCATACCAACCTCTTATTTCCCAAATTGGAGGTGGGGCCTTCCTCTTCTTCCCTTTGTTTTGTTTGTCTCCCTTTATTTTCCATTTAGAGGGATTTTAGAGGGCCCTTTGGTTGGCTTTGCTCTTCATGAAAGTCAACCTGGCAGTGGCAGTAAAAAGACCAAGACTTGGGAGTCCTTAAATTAAAAAAATGCTTTGAGATTTGATTTTAGAATTCTCTGTTCAGAAGCAGATTGATCATTTGGGAGAATTAGGATGGATGTTCCCATACAAGGAGTGCAAGAGGGGGCAGAATCATCAGAAATAACCCCTTTTTGATGACCTCAGAGTGGCTTGGTTGAGTTTCTTTAATGGGTCTTGGCACACTTAAGTGACAAACTGGTACCAAAACCAGCTAACCTGTGGCTCACACAGGTTATCTCCATAGGGAAAAAAAACCCAAAAACTCAAGGAATTATTTGGAAATTGCCACATTTTTAAGGCTCTCCTGTCATGTGGAGGTTGGTGTGCAAGGAGGAAAATGATACTTAGAGCAGATTTTAACAGTTTTAGGCTTAGCCCAAGCAGGACTGATGGCTTGGAGACCTCCCCCTTCCAAGGAAAAGTGATTGCAACCCCTCTGAGCCCCTCAAGACCAGACAGAAGAGGTCAGTGGATTCCTCTTTACTCCAGAAAACAGGGGATAGTGGCTTTTAGGTATTTAAACCAACTATTTGTGTCATGTTACAGGAAATTTCTTCCTCAGCATATCCAATTTCTAAGCCTTCCTGAATCAGAAGGTTGAGATTATCAAAGCCCAACTCCTGGAAAAAAAGAGAACACTAAGGAAAAAAAACAAAAAAACAAAAAAACACAAAAACCAAGCAAGTTTCCAACCCCTCCAACTGCATTCCCAGCCAGCACAGAGCCCCAAACTTCGGGAAGGGCTGGAATTGGGGGGGAAAAAAAAGAGCCACCAGACAAGTCGTGTTCTCAGTATTGACCTTTATTGAGCAAGAACTGCTGTGACTGTTTTACATCGAACAACAAAAGGTTGCGCACTGTGCATGTCAACAAGGTTCTCCCACGAGCAAAAGTCCACCCTATAATTGCACCAGTGAGGTAAACATAATGATTTATAAGTAGCTTTTTTATTATTATTATTATTAATAATTTTTTTATTATTATTTTTATTTTTTAAGGCTAGGAGAGTTCTGGTTCTCATGAATATCCTACCACTGTTTTCCTGTTTGGTTTTTTTTTTTTGGCTCAGTCGGTTTCTTTTGCATAATACATCTTAAAGTCGTCCCTCAGACACGTCCTCCCTCCGACAGCAGCTCAGGAAATTCAGGAAAAAAAAAGAAAAAAGAAAAAAAAAAAGCTTCCTTTGCACATTTCATCTCATGCACTATTATTAGCATTATTTTTTATTTCCTTTTTTTTTTTTCTTTTTTTGGGGGGGTAGACCCCCCAAGCTCTGTGGAGGGAGAGTTACACCTTGAGCCTGCTGCATGCATTTCCCCCCCCCTCCCCACCCAGCTTTCCCTTAATATTGCACGAACGAAAAAAAAAACAACCTAAAATACTGTGTGTCTGGAGAGCCTCCATGAGAGAACCCTTTCTGCTTTGAAGCTGTCACCCCACATGCATTTTGCAGCTTTTGTCATATGGCTTAACCTTTCGCACCGACCCAAGCTCCTGGATTTGTTCAGATTGAGCCTTTTTTTTGTTTGTTTGTTTTGCTTTGGTTCTACTCGGCCTCTTTGATCTCCTTCACCACGGCGTGGGAGGTGACTTTCTCCACCTTCTTGGTGGACACCAGTTTCTCCTCGAAGCTCTCCTCGTGCTCCTCCACCTTCTGGGTGACGGTCACCGACTTGGTGACGAAGGTGGTGCCGCCGTCCCCTCCCTCGCCCGTGATCTTCTCCACCTTCTTGGTCACCACGACTTTCTCCGCCTTGTCGTCCACGGGGCTCACGTCCAGCCCGTTGGTGACCACCCCCTTGTCCTCCTCCTCCTTCTCCTTGGATTCCTCCTCCTTCTTCTCCTCCACCTCCCCGTTCACCGCGATATCTTCTTTCCTGGACTCCTTCTCGGGCTCGGCGCTGACTTTGGTTACCTTCGTGACGGTGACGGTCTCCTCCACCACGGCCTTGGCGTCTTTGAGCGGGGACGGGGGTTTCTCAGGGGAACGGGGCTTTTCTGGGCTCACGGGTTTTTCGGGAGTGCGGGGCTTCTCGGGGCTCGCCGGCTTTTCCGGGGAGCGCGGCTTCTCCGGCGTCAGCTTCTCCAGGGCCACCGCCTTCTCCGCCTTCTCCGGGCTCGCGGCCTTCTCCGGGGTGGCAGCTTTGTCTGGGGAGGTCACCTTTGGTGTTGCAGCTTTCTCTGGGGACGCTGCTTTCTCCTCTTCCTTGGCTGCTTTCTCGGCCTTCTCCACCTTGGGTTCTTTCGCTGCCTCCGCGGGTTTTTCCTTCGGGGCGGCCTTGGCCGGCTCTGTGACGGGGGATTTAGGGGGGGATTTAGGGGGTGACTTTGAGGGAGGGGTTTTGACCTTCTCTGCCTTTGCTGCCACCTCTTCGGCCTTGCCCTTGGCCTCAGCTTCTTCCTCCTCTTCCTCGGCCTCCTCCCCTTCTTCCTTTTCCTCGATTTCTTCTTTTTCCGAACCACCTTCTTCCGCTGCATCAGATTTGGCAGCTTCTTCTTCCTCCTCTGCTTCCTCTTCCTCCTTCTCCTCTTCCTCAGGTTGTTCTGCAGCAGCCTTCTCAGAAACAGCCTCTTCCTCTGCAGCTGCTTCTTCTGCCTTTTCTTCCTCCTGCTCTTCCTGCTGTGCCTTGGCTGCCATTTCTTCTGCAATTGCTGCCAGGGCGTCTTCCATTTCAGACTTTTCGTCCTCCACCTTCGTCTCTTCGATGATTTCTTCTACAAACTTGTGCTGGACCTTCAGCTTTGGCGGTTCAATTTTTGTTTTCTGGATTTTGGTGGATGCTATTGTGACAGATGGTTGTCTGTGTGTGAATATGGGACCAGTAATGCTTCCAGAGAAGGCACTGAATCTTGTCTCTTCACCCTCCAGTAGCTTCCTAAGGGAATCAGGAGGAGAAAAAAAAACACAAGAAAATGAGCATAAAAACCCCACATAAGGGGCAGCTGTTGGAATAGCTGTGGCTGCTGCACCCCTGGAAGTGCTGAAGGACAGGCTGGATGGGGCTTGGAGCAACCTGGTCTAGTGGAAAGTGTCCCTGCCCTGGCAGAGGGTTGGAATAAGATGGTCTTTGAGATCCCTTCCAACCAAAACCCTTCCATGCTTCCCCAACATTGCCCTGCCAGCAGGATGGAGCCAGTTTGCACGTGGAACATGCTGGAAACGTCCAGCACAATCCACGGCTCACAGCCCCCAGGGCCAGCTCTCCTCCAGCCTCCTCTTTGGCAAAAAGCTCCTGCTCAGCCAACAGCTGTGTCAGCTTGGTTGGTGCAGGTGTAACCCCTGCAGGGACCAGCTGAAATCCAGCCTTGAGGTCCAAAAAAATTAATGATGGCACAAATCAGCAGAGAGAAGGGCAAAGGAACCAACTTCATGGGATGCATCGTGACTAAGGCAAACGGGATTAGACCCAGCCAAGAGACCCAAACCAAACACTGTGGCTGAGCCACTCAGAGCTGATCAGAGCACACGTCCTGGTTCAGTAATTCACCCCTTTCTTGGGTGAATGTGGGAACTGGAGGCTTTGGTTCAGCTAACTGTGGGAGCAACCAGCTGCAGACCCTGCTATCTGTGTGTCTGTCTGAACAACCTCGGGAATTTAAACAGAACTGGAGATGTTTGGGGTTTTTTTTGTTTTGTTTTTACTTTCCTTCTATTCACATGCACGTTTGCCATCTAAGCCCGTGACCCAGAAAGATCAGCAGCTCTCTGATGAGAGCTCTGAAGAGACACAAAGGAGACTGAAAAAACCTGCCAGGTGATGGCAACAGCAAGCAACGCTCAGCTGCAGATTAGAGCGGGTGCCTCTGAAGGAAAGTTGAGCAAGAAAAGCAAAAGTGTTTGTGACAGGCAGATTAGCACTCCCTGCTTGAAACCATGATCAAGCAAGTGCCCTGTCTCTCCCAGGCGATAAAAGGGAATTCAAGTGACAAGCCCGGCTCGCTTAGCATATGCAAAGCAAACAGGAATTAAAAATAAACCCGGTCTTTTGCTGCGTGCTCTTGTTTTTTTTTTGCAGCCAAGGACAGAATGCGGCACAGGGGTGCCGCTGCACTGAGTCACTGCCGTCCTGTGCCCACGGGGCTTGCTGGCAGCTTTGCCACTGATTAGCTGGTCCCTAATGACCTTCGGGGTTCTCACTGCTCTGCACAACGGCTGCAGTGATTTAGCCAAGCTCTGATTTCACTCGTGTCCGCTGCGAGCAGATATTTTCTTATCTGTGGTAAAGCTTCCCCAAGCCAGCAGCATCTGCAGTGCTATTAATATTCCAGACATGTCTGCAACGGTCCTACCGTACCTGTACGCAGCAATTTCAATGTCCAGGGCCATCTTGACATTGAGGAGGTCCTGGTATTCCCTCAAGTGACGTGCCATTTCCCACTTCGTTCCTCTAAGCTCGTTTTCCAGCTGGTGAATCGTGTCCTGCAAGGGAGAGGCGGAAAACCTCGGTGACACGGGCGTTCGCCTCCCGCGGGGACAGAGCGGGGAAAAGTTGCCAGAAGGGACTTTGAGAAACTCTCCCCGCCGCTCCGGGAGGCAGGGCCGGGATCGGAGCCGGACCCACCCGCTCCCACCGCCCTCCCCGGCATCCTCCACCCCTGCTCCCGCATCCCTCGCCGCGGAGCCGGCGCCGCGCACCTCCCGCATCCCTCCCGCGTCCCCGCCGGGCCGGGGGCAGCCCGGGGCCGCCTCCCCGGTACCTGGTAGGTGGTGAGGTCGTTGTTGTGGCGCTCCTCGATGTCGCTGAGCTGCCGCTCCAGCGACTCCTTGGTGCCGCGCACCGACTCCAGCTCGATGCTCTTGGACTGGAGCTGGCGGCGGTACTCGGCGATCTCCTCCTTGGCGGAGCGGATCGCCTCCTTGTTCTGCTCGGCCGCCTCCGTGAGCTTGGCGTAGCGGCACTTGAACCACTCCTCGGCCTGGTGCATGTTGTGGTCGGACTGGCACTCCAGCTGGGCGCGGATCTCCTTCAGCGCCGTCGTCAGGTCGGTCTTCAGGTAGTCCTTCCTCTCCACGGTGGCGTGGGACGCCTGGAGCTGCGCCAGCAGCTCGGCCACCTCCTCCTCGTGGTTGCCCCTCAGGAAGGCCACCTCGTCCTGCAGCGACTGCACCTTCTTGTCCAGCTCCGCCCGCATCAGCGAGGCCTCCTCCATCTCCTTGCGCAGGGCGCGGATCGTCGCCTCCGTCTCGTCGCGCAGCCGCGCCTCATCCTCGAAGCGCTCCCGCAGGCGCTGGATGTCCTCCTCGATGTGCTCCGAGTCCAGCTGGATCTGCGCCTTCTCGTGGCTCACCTGCTCCAGGGCCCCGCGCAGCTCCCGCAGCTCCTGCTCGTAGGCGTCGCTCAGCTGAGCCCGCCCGGCGTGTTTCTGCCGCAGCGCCGCCAGCTCCGCCTCGATCTCCTTGTTCTGCTGCTCCAGGTAGTGCACCTTCTCGATGTAGCCGGCGAAGCGGTCGTTGAGCCCCTGCAGCTGCTCCTTCTCGTTGGAGCGGCTCAGCTTGAGCTCGGCCGCGCCGTTGAGCAGCGAGGACTGGCTCACGTCCAGGCTGTCGGCGGAGCTCAGCACGGTGGAGCCGTAGGCGGCCCGCGGGCCCCCGAGGTTGGGGCGCTTGTAGGAGGAGGACACGGTGCTGCCCGAGCCCCGCGACCACGACTGCGAGCGGAAGCCGCTGGAGGGGGACGCGCTGGCGCGGCTGTAGGTGGCGCGGGTCTCGGTGACCCGGCGGTACGAGGGGTTGCCCAGGGGCTCCATGGTGTAGCTCATGGTGGGGGCGCTGGGGGCGGCGGTGCGGGGCTGCTCCGGCCGCCGCCGCCCCTTATAAAGCCCCGCCGGGCGGCTGCGGGGCGGCCCCGCACACGTGTGCGGGGGGCGGCTCCCCCCCGGCCCGGCCCCGCGCCCCGCCCCTGCCCTGCCCCTGCCCTTCCCATCGCTCGTCCCGGCTCTCCCCTGCCCGGCCCTGAAGCCCCCCGAGGCCCCTTCCCCACTGCGCCTTCCCTCGCTGCCCCCGCTCCCTTCCCCCCTTTCCCCCTTTCTCTTTTCCCACGGCTCCTCCCTCCCCGTTCCCCTTCCCGTTCTCCCTTGGCCGCGCTCCCCCCTTTCTCCCTCCTGCTCCCCCCTTTCCCTTTCCCCTGTTCCTTCCCTCTTGCCTTGCTCCCTTTCCCCCCCTTCCCTAGGCCATCACCCTTTCTTTCCTTCCTTTCTTTCCTTCCTTCCTTCCTTCCTTTCTTTCCTCCTCCTCTTCTTTCCTTCCCTTCCTCCCTCCTTTCTTTCTTCTTCCCTTTCTTTCCGTTCTTCCCTTTCTTTTCTCCCTTTCCTTTCTATTATTCATTTTTGCTGTTCTTGCTTTCCTTTCCCTTCTTTTCCGCCTCTCTTTCATTTCTTTTCCCTCTTTTCCCCCTCTTTTCTCTCTCTTTTCCGCCCCCAGCCCCCCCTTCCCGCAGCGGCCGTGGCGGAGCGGAGCGCGGGGGTCGCACAGCAGGGTAGGGCCGGGGGTCGGGGGCCGGGATTTGGGATTGGGAGACCGGGATCTGGGATTGGGAGACCGGGATTTGGGATTGGGAGACCGGGATCTGGGACTGGGGACCGGCGGCTTCATCACCACGGACAGCTCCCACCGGCAGCGCGGATGGGGGCGGGGAGGGGGGCCCGCCCTTAACGGGGGGGTTTAAGGGGTTTTATGACTCAGAGGGACCCCCAGATGTGTGGGAAGGGTCCAGCCCACCCTGTCCCCCCTTCTCCAGGCGGGGTCTGGCGTGTGAAGGTCGCAGCGGGCGGGGGGAGGCGGCGGCTCTGCGGCACCGGCCGCTCCCCGCTCCGGCTTTTGGGGGCTCTGCGGGAGCACCGGGGGGAAGCCCTGGCAGGGCTGGAGCAGCAAGAGTTTGGAAGACACCCCCCTCAACTCCCCTCTACTTCCCCCGGCATCCCAAATCCTTCATCTCGATTCTTCTCCCCTTCTCCTCCTCGCTCCCTTTCCCTCCCACTCCGATTCTAACGCTTGGTGCATTGCTCGGGAATAAATTCGTCTTTGAAACCGTGTTAAAAAAAAAAAAATGATGTTTACACGACAAAATGTACTTCGTATGGGCTGCGTTACCGTGCCTGGCCACCATCCAGACTCTGAACTCCTCTTGGAGGGATTACAGCTACGGAGGAAATTGTTTAGTAAGCTGCAAAGAGAGAGAAAAAAAACCACTACCCAAAGCCAAAAAAACCCCACTAAAACCCGCTGGTGCTAGAAAAATCCCTGCCACAGCTCCCATGGCAAAGCAGGGTGCTGAGGGGGGAGAGTTAACTCGTCAGTCAGACCCTGCTGAAAAGGGTCTGTGCGTGCTCACAGCCTGAATTTTTAAGCAGGTTTATCCGAACAGGCAAAAATCCTCCTCCCAAAATCGCCTCGGTGCCTTTAGCCCGGGCCACACACACACACAATTCCCGGCTGGAGGCTGCCGGGGAGAGCCGGGCAAGTCTGAGGGACAGGGTTAAACTTTGCGAGCACATGGAGCATCGCACCCCTCTGCTGGCTCATTAATATGATGCTGTCATAGGACTGCAGCACTGCAGTCGGGAGCGGGACTCGGAATTATCCCTGGATCTGCTTGGCTGGGATTTGCAAGCACAGGCAGCTCCGGCTGCTGCTCAACCCCTGGAGTTTCATAGAACAGACACGGGGAAAAGGTTTTATTCTAATGAAGCAATCACGGCTTCTAAAGCTGCTCCGTTAATTTTGCTCCAAGTTTTCTCCTCAGGCGCAAAGCCTCCCTTTGGAATTCATTTGGAAGTCAAAACAAAATTACTGCCTGTTAGGGCACTGCGTTTTGTTACCTTTTAGGGAAAAAGGATATGCTGTGATCTGGTTTATTAATGTTTTGGTTTTTCTTTTTTTCCCCCCTGGTAAGTAAAGATTGGGAGGGGGGAACAGATCCATGTTTTATACATATGGAAAACTTACTGTAGAAGGAAACACACGGGTAACAGAGGTGCTTGGGAGCTTTTATTATCCATTTAATCTTCTGAAAACAAGGGAATGGCGTTGAACAGCAAGTAAGGAGGGGCATATGGAACTCTGTAATAAACCTCCCTTTCATTAAAGACCTCGTAATTCCATTTACCCAGGATGCAGAATAAATTGCTGCTTCATAATCAGGCAGCGACAGCATTTGACTTATTTATTTAATGCTGAGATCAAGCAACGCTAACTTTTATAGAACACCAGACACTGGGATCTCCTCAAAAATCAAGGTATTTAGAGGAGAAAGAAAGGCTTTCTCCTGAAAGAAAACCACCCTGTTTTAAGAGCAAACACAGCCTTGCAAGGGGGCTTTCTGATCCGGGAGCAGGTGCAGGTGGACAAGGCTCCTGAAGGTGACCTGAAGGTGAAAATGAGTCAGGGAAATCAGCCTGAAACGTCGCCTTATTCCTCGAGGAGATTTCTGACCCTCCCCTTGGGGAGATTTGGAAATGCAGCCCCAACATTTTCTGCTTCTGGGGAACTTCGGGGTTTGGCCTGGAAGTTGAAGGGAGCAAACAGCAACCTGGTGTGGGGGCTCTGAGGCAGGAGAAGGGGAGGAAGGGGCGGCTCCCACGGGAGTGGGGAAGCGGCAGCACCGATTTGGATCCTGATTATTCACTATTGACAAACCTGCAGCGAAGAAACGCTCCAGGAGGGCGAGCCTGAGTCCTGCAGCTGCCTTAAAAATAAAAAAAAATTTAAAAAATTGGGAAAAGGGAAGAAAAGACACGAGGTGGAGTGAGACAACAGCCTGACTGCTGTCAGGGAGAGGAGATCAAATATAGCCAGACATAAGGAATTCACTTGAATATCTCTTCTTTAAAAAAAAAAAAAAAAATTAAATCAGATGAACAGAATAAAAGGGGGTTTGGGGTGGATTTTTTATGTTATGGAGAGGCAGCAGAATGAGGACAACTGGGCAGATAATACAACCTGGTTGTAACTATTTTTAAAAAAAAAAATCATTTATCAGCTTAAAGGGTGTTGGTCATTCACTGACTGTTTTTAATATAAGCCTGGTTTAAGCTTAAGCTTAAGCAATTTAAGCCTAAATAGGTCTTAGTGATATCTGTGCAAGGAGGAGCAAACAGGAACATCAGAAGGAATTTTGTCAGAGTGGCAGAAGAGGCAGGAAATCAGAATTTGGGCCACTTTTATATTCCACACCACGGAGCGATGTGAACTGGTGAGACCCTGCAAGCCCGGGGTTTTATGATGCTTTAATGTCAGCTGGAGACCTTGACATCCCCAAACCTTCTGTGGTCCCCCCTAAACTTATAATAAATAATGCCCCAGCTGGTGGAAATTGGTCTCACTCCAGCTGAGCCCAGAGGGCAAGGATGGGCATTTCAGCCCAGCTGAGCACAAGTCCTGGGAGGATTTAAATAGAGAGTGGGATTTATGGATCCAGGGCCTCGTCCTGGCTGGTGTTGGATGCTCCTTGAATTTTTAAAGGGATTTATATTTTTCCTGCCTCTTTTTTTTTTAAAAAATATATCCAATGAAAGTTTCAGGTCCTGCTCTCTGGATTGCTGCAGCTTCCCCTGGTGTTGTGTGGGATAACAGCACACAGCTTGGGCGAGAGGGAAACTCTCGTGACAGATATTCCGTCCCTTGCCCCAACCTGGCCTTGGGCACTTCCAGAGATCCAGGGGCAGCCACAGCTCCTCTGGGAATTCCTTTCCAGCCCTTCCCCACCCTCCCAGGGAAGGATTGCATCCCAACCTCCCATCCTTCTGGCAGTTTGAAGCCGAGGGAGGAGCAGACTCAGCACCCGAACGAGAACCGTGACCCTTCCCGAAGCGATGGCCACGAACAGAGACAGGTATTGGAGAACTTGGCTCCTACCAGAGCAGCCAAAAACTGACACAGCAGAAACCAGACTGCCTAGAACAGCTTTTTTTTTATTGTTATTTAAAGGCAGAAAGAGTTTGGAGGTGAAGGTTAATGAGGCAGAAGGAAGGTCCCACCTGTGGAGGGAAGGAGTGAACTCCACGCAAGACACCGAGCCTCAGTCTCCTTTCTCTGACATCATCACCTGCAGAGCTGATCCATTCAGGCACACAAAGGACCAAAACCCTGCCCAGGCCCAGATAAACTCAGCTTTAATTGCCTGGGATGGAAAGCAAAGGGAGTGACTTCCTCTGGGTTTAATTCCTTGGTGCTTCCCCAAGTTTTCTCACTGCTCCCTTTTTTTTTCCTACATGTGCTGCCTGGTGTTTCAAACTGAAAATTGCCAGCCAGAAAACATAGATATCCAGGTCAGGATAGAAATCTTCTGGTGATAAAATGATCAAAAATAGCTCTTCCTACCTCGTTTGGAGAGGGATGATTTTTTTTTCCCTCTCCCAGTCTTCCCTTTCTAAAAATATCCCTTTGAAAAGTGGCTGCAATTCTGCCTTTTATGACCACTTTTCCTGGAGCTGTACATCCCATATGACAAGGCTGCCATAGGGCAAAGCTATTTTTAGAGTGCTGCTTCCCAGGGGAAAAGAAAAAAAAAAAAAAAAGAGGGAGAAATTACTGGAAATCAGGGGAAGTTGGGATGGTAACAGTTAATTCTGCCCCTGGTTATCACACACGGGTGTCATTCCAGCAGCCAGGGGAATTGCTGGGACAGAATTCCCATTTTTCAGCACAGTGGCAGCACGTGGATGGGGAGAACCTGCCTGGTTTGATGTGCAACCACACCAATATTCAGGATCAGTTTTTTTTCCCAAATATCCCCTCTATGGAGAGGCTCGTTCGGAATATTCTGGACCTGACACAGAGTCTGGGATGATGGA